ATTAACAATAAAACAAAAGACTGATCACTGAGCAACTCCCTATCAAAATTTTAAAATGTTTTCAGTTCAAAAATAAATATCATAAAAAAGTCAAAACTCCTGAAATTCAATTCAATTCAACTCAATTTAAATTGTGACAAACAATTCTGAGAATTTTTCGGGCCATTAAATTTGTTATCCGAAACATCCAAAATATTTACGAAAATACCCTCACAGAATCAGTACAATAACAAATAATCTATTTCCTCACATTTTAATTTCAACTTACTCTGATATGCTCCGTCTCGTTATCATTATTCAATTTAAGGCCCAATGTCCCAATGGGTGTATTGTTTGCTAACAACGCCTGCTCGGTTACAATCCAGACATGGCCTGCTTCTGTCATATTGTACATTGCAGCATCCCGAAATATTACAAAGGCATCATCTTTGCTATAATTTATAAATGTATGTTTGTTATTGTCGTCGTTGTAATTTGACATGGAGATGACGTTGGGAGACAATTGAGGAAGCGTGAATAAAATGAGGAAAAAAATGGCAAAATTTATTATAATGAAATTTTATTGAAAGCTTTTTGTCATGATGATATTTATGAATACCACATGACATGAGTCGCAGTCACACGTACATTTTCAATCACACACATACACACTCTTACAGAATTATTTAAGAAATTTCACTATGAAACCATCAGCATTATACATATATATTATTCATACATATATTTTATAGAACTTTTTAAATGGAGTGAGAGCCTGAAATGGATGAGATAAGGCAGCAACAGCGCCAACAAAACAAGAGGGGAAAAAGCCACATGAGTTGTGGAGGAATGGAAAACGGAAATCGCTAAACAACAATTTTTACCATCTACATTATGACTTTAATGTAAAATGTTCATTCATTGTCACTTCTTTAATGTACTTATGCAATCGTTAGGAACGGAAATTGTTCGGTTATAATAATCAGTCATTTGGAAAGTTGATTTCTTCTTCAACTTCGCAGCTCGTTTTGTCTCGAGCGGGATTTAAGTCATCAATAAAATTGCTCAAATGTGAGCGATTTTATCGTGGATTTATTGAACCTTCTTGACAATATTCTTTTTCATTGAGCTTTACATTTTTTGATGACTTGGATTCAAAATAGATTTACGTTTTAGACTATTCAGCTCAGCTGAATTCAGCATTTTTCAACACTGCTGAATTTAAGACTTTTTCAGCTTCGATAAATTCATTACTACTCAATTCAGCTGGATTAACGACTATTCAACTCAGCTGAATTCAGCACCATACACCTCAACTGAATTCAGCCTTATTAAGCTTAGGATTATTCGGCTCAACTGAGCTCAAGATTTTTCAAATCAAATTTTTCAAAGCTGAATTCAGTATTGTTAAGCTGATCCATCAATATAGAATTTTGATTTCAATTTAATTTCTTCTTAAACATTTTCATTGTTGTTTAAGAGCTTTCCACAAAATTTCTGTGTCTGTGAAACAGAGTTTGCTGATTTCTTGGAATTTAAGCTCTCAAAAACAATTTAATTTCGAAACCTTCAAGCTCAATACTCCATGACTGTGGCAACGAAATCATTAATCAACTTAAAAGCTTCAGATATTTATTTTTTCATCAATTTAAATTTCTAAATGCATTTACTTGTTTTCTTTCTGAAGCATTCTTCTTTTCACTCATTTCATACATTTATTTTTATTTATTTGTTTATCCATAAGTCATGTGTGGTGCACCGCAAGCAAGAAAGTCTTCATATGTGAATGGATGGTTAGTCTGCTGCACAGATTCCTCAGCATTCATACTTATAAATACATAGATTGAAGTGTTTATTACTCTTATGATAATAAAAATGTATTTAAAATTTTTTTTATGGTGTCGAGACAGAAGCAAGAACATTAGCATCGGTCGTCATCATAGTCATTGGATGAAAGATAGTTGTAGAGAAAGGAGTGCACAATAGTGGCAACATAACAAAGAAAACCATTAAGAAGAGAAGAAAAATTATGGAAGCGTTCATATTTTCCACTACAGTGAGCTTTTAGCGCTATTACGCTTCAGATGCAATGCAATCTATATTAATAACAATCACTTATCCATCACTACTGTTCATTTCTCATGTGAATCTCTATCTGACGTAATATTTCTCATACCATTTTCCTTAATACTAAATTGATAAAGTTCATTCTAATAATTTTATGTATTTATGATCATGGATTGGGACTATCAGCCTTTTATTTCTGGTACTTAACATTCCTCCTTTTTGAGTATAAACATTATCATTATCCTTACTCATCTCTCACTCCACTTTGAATGGAGACCCGAGAAATGAATGATATTCTTTAAAATAATAGAAAATTTGCAACTGAACTCATCTAAGCGTTTTGTTGAATTCGAAGCTTTTAGCTGAATTCAAAGCTTTTAGCTGAATTCAAAGCTTTTTGCTGAACTCTGATTAGTTTTTTTTTGCTGAATTAAAACAGCATTTTAACAAAATAGATGCTTGTCCAAGATTCATTCATCTATATATTACCCGGGATTATTTTGATATTTACGTATGTAATGCAATATAAAAGATAATCTGCTGATAAAGCGAATATACGCATGAAAATTGCAAGGATATGGAAAAGCAAATAATGTAAATACGACGAAAATTCACTTGAATTAAATGAAATCAGAGAACATCAGGCAGAAATGAATAAGATAGAGATAAACAAGAGAGGAAAATAAAGGAGGAAATTTTATTAATTTCCTGATTGTGCATGAATAATATCAACGAAAATTGATGTAAATGGAATTTCTGGATGTGTTATGTTTGCTTGTTCGGATATATTATATAATTATGAGAGATTTATGCCATAATATGGATGTGTTTGGGGAAATTGAATGTTCTACTTCGTAATTTAAAGATCGAGGAAATTGTTTTGGGTTCTTGGAAGGGATAAATTGGTAGATAATTGAATTTTTTCAAGCTTTTGTGTTTATTTAGAATTGAATTTAGGGGAATTTAAGATTTAAAATTAATGTGATTTTTTAAAAGTTTAACTTTTTTTTTAAATTTGAAAATTTACTGAAAAAATCATTTTGTAGTTTTTCTATAGAACCAATCAGTGTTTTTGGATTAAAATAAACTAAACAGATCATTTCAAAAATAAAATTCTAATTCAACCAATTAAACCGAAAAATTACAGAACAAAAGTTGTAAATAGAATTTTAAAGCTTCATAAAAGCAAAATTGACATGAAATTAAGTAAATTCTAATTAAAATCTTCATTTTGTTCAAAACACATCAAAGTTAATAAGGTTTTCCACAGCAATCAAGATCAAAAAAAAAATGCGAAGCTATCACCAAGCAAAATTAAGCAATTCATTGATAAGAAGAAATTTCAACAATATTGATTGCGTTTAACACACGCGCTTAACATCGTGTAGCAATTTCCAATAATGACAAAAAAAATACAATCTCACTGAAATTCGCAAACATCCAAAAATCATCGATTTTGATTAAATAAACATGTGTGTAGTCTGTCAATAGCAACATCAGCAATATCAAATCAGATCCTATTTATGTTGGCATTAACGTCATTCATCAAAGTTGCAGATTAATTGATGTGTTACATGTTCATTAAGCACAAATGATTTTCTTCCTACTCTATGAAACTTTATCACTTGCCTTAAAAAAAGCAAATTATTCTTCTTGATCGATTTCTATTAAATTTGAAAATATAAAACTTCAATCTTTTAATGTTTAATTAAAATTTCAATCACGTTGAATGTCAGGAAGAAAATTATTCTCTTTTCCTACATACGCGCTTGAAAATCAATCAGCCTTTTGTTCCGACACGTGCACAATTTAAGAAAACACTAAATAAGTGAAAAATTTGATTGTAAAAATGAATAAACAAGCTTCAGATCCATTACGCTAAGCTCGTGGTTCTTTTTTTAAGATTTTTAAAGAAGGATTTGGACTGTTGAAACCTTAAAGAAATCTTGAAAGATTGTGAACAATTTAGATGCACTGGAACTTGAAAAGATATGCAAATAAGTGTGCAGAAACTTGATAAAAATTTAATAAGCAGCAAAACTTTGACTGTGGAAGTAAAAAATTCATAAACTAATAAAAAGAAAGTTTTGAGAAAAATCTTAAAGAATTTTAAAACATTAAAGTTCATTCAAGCACTTCAGAACCGCAAAGGAATCATATCAACAGGTAACGAAAGAAAAAAATTAAATCAACAAGCCGCAACCTTCATCCAGCAAAAATTATAGCTTTTCAACCTTAAATAATCACCAAGGTCACATATTGAAAATCAAGGTAAAAGGAAGCAGAAATAAAATCTTAAAAATAAGTCGACTTGTTTTGCTTCACTTCCCTCACTGCCCTACCTCTCAAAAGCAATAATAATAAAGTTGTTGGAAATATAAAGATTCAGCTGATGGTTACACATAAGCGGCTTAACAGACGAGAGAAACCGGAACGTCAATAGAAAAAAAAATAATCTTCTTTTAAATATTTTTGTAGATGCACAAAAAAGAAAATGAGCAAAAAAATTCTGTCCAAAAATGGAGAGGAAATGTTTATAAGAAATGAAATTGGAAGGTTTAAATTGTTTATGGAGATGGTTTGAATGTATATTAATGGATTATTAAAGGTTTGTGGTTAAAGACTAACGGATCAGCTAGAAATTAATAAATAAGTCAAAGACAACTTTTTAAAGAATTGACAATATGAAGCTAATAAGATCCAGTGACTAAAGTTTAGACAAATAAAGTTCTTAAGTTGGATTTACTATCTTGATTTGCATTCAACGACTAAGATTTGATTCATGCCCGTCTACATTTCAATGGTCATTTCAAAGCATCAAACACTCACTCAACATTAAATTCCGTTCAAAAAATTTCAATAATGAAACCCAAATAAAATCTCATCAAATCCTATTTCAGGCACGATTTAGTTCCTCCTTAAAAAAATGTTAAATCTTCTTAATCTCATTCTACTTACTTTGCATAAAGAAGATAAACTCGAGACTGTGCTGATCTCAACTCCGATAAATGCTCCGTAAAGCTCTCTAATTTTGGTTCAAACTCAACAATTGACTCGACATTAGCTCTCACATCAATATCATCGTAATTTGTTTGTGATGTTGTTTGAAATCGTCCCAATATAGCACGACCATCCGTATCTGAGCTGTGTATAATAATCACCTGTGCGTGTTGATTGTTGTATTAGGAAATTGGGGTAGGCGTGAAAAGGAAAAGAGAAGAAACAAAAAAAAGTTTTATTTTTTAAGGAGAATCCTTATGTTTACTGAAAAACTAATGAAATATAAGAAATGGGGAGAACATGATGAGGATGATGATGATGAAAGGAATAACAGATTCGTGATTTTTTCTTCTTAGTTTTTTTTTTTTACTTTTGGATGTTATGCAATAGAGGCGTCTCAAACAATAGTTCTGAGGCCGGTTTCTAGGGCTATTCGGGACACTTTTTGTGACTACTACAATGCCTCGTTTTGACCTGTAAATCCAACCCTGCTTTGTTCATTCAAATCTTGATGAGTTAAGGTCGCGTAGTCAGTTGTAACTCAACATCCAATCGACCCCCTCAAAGGACTTTTTATGTGCTTATTTATTTAAAGCAAAGAAAATAAATAAAAAGTTCTGTTCACGATGTTTTTAACACAGCTTCTGTAAACAAATTAGTCATTTTGGCTGTGTAATCAAAATGTTTTGCAGATAACAGAAATGGAATTTCAATAATAAATAAATTTCCTTCTCGCTCATAGACACAACTGACTTGTGAAGCTGTTATATAGAGCAGTGATGTTCTCGACATTGTTTATTTACTCTCCCGAGCAAATACACAACGCCCTCGCACAAAATAAGTATAAAAAAGTATTTTCACATATTGTTCTCAGTATTTTATGTCCGTGTCAGTTGTAGTGGGTTTGGTGCCATATTTTTAAGATTTTATGGTTTTCTATTTTTACTTGTAATATAAATGGAACACAAGATGTTGAGTTATTAGAAGGCATTGTTTTCCCGAGGCATCTAACCTTGAGCAACAATTTTATAGCTTAATAAAATTAAACCTAGCTTTAGTCTTGAGGGAAATGAAGAGAACTTTAGGGACAATCGTCAGTCTTGAGTTATATCAGTAGAACTGACGGGTCTCCTTACAACTGATATTTCCAAGCTATTAAGATCAAAGCTGATCCAGGTCTATTCCTGGATAGCCATAGCACTCATTCTTATATCTCTGTTTAATTTCTGTGCATCACCACTCGATTAATACTAGAGTGCAAGAATAATCAGCTTCTAGAATGCTTCTCTGACATCAAAAGCTCAATATTAGCACTACTATACTTAATACTAGTATCCTTCATTCCATTTCTTCGTTCATGAATAAAAAATCTATCGTTGTTGCGTTGACGACATTTCTAGTCGTCGCTTTTGTAATGAAGAAGGAAAAAGGAGGTATGTATCGTAGCAAAAGTAAGAAGAAATGGAAATCCAAAAGCAAAAATGTAAATGATGATAGAGGAAATAAGCAGGATGATTGAAAAGCAAGAGGATATGGAACGGTTGTATAATATATTTATATATTTACCTTCGTGTAGCCAAAATGACTAAGCATCTCAAGCCAAACGTCCGCTTGATGGTAATAAGGTGGCACGGTTCGAAGGAATGAAACATGAATATTTTTATCAGAGAAAGCTGCGTCACGTGATGAAACGCCTATGACTGGTATCTGATAGAAGCCACTCGTGTAACTCACAGCTGCTGGTGATAAATCATGTCCAGATGAGTCGTCATGCGACACTACAACCGCATACACTCGCTTCGATATAAGATGCTTACAAACATTTAAAGCTGTTTTTATGGGATTCTTATCTATTCGTATTGTTTTATCGTAATAAGTTGTTCCTCTTGGCACATACGTCTGTACATAATTTAATGTCTTTGAAAAGGAAAAAAAGCAAGATTATTAATACGAATTCTCTTTATTATTAATATTATTCTCGTATTTTATGGATTGTAAATTACATTACTCAGGTTCGCGTGAATCTTGTCTCATAATAAATATAGTCATATTGTATTGCATGATAAGAACAAATGAGAGTCATCGTATTAAAGATTTTCTAAGATTCAAAATTAAATATTCATGTCTTAGGAAGGAAATGTCTTGATTAGGTGATGAAATGATTAAGGACTGAATTGCTATTTTGAGGCATAGAATCAAAGGTGAAGGAGATGATTAAAAATAATTTCGAACTGCTTAAATGCTGAATACAACAAGTTTAACAACGCTGAATTCAGCAAGTTATTAATTCATCTTATTCAGCACTTCAAAACTCAGAAAAGGACTATCTAGCTACAGTAAATCATTTCATTAAAGAACGGTAAAGAACCTTTCCTTTTAAATCAGTACTTTGATCTCAAATCATAGTCGCGAGATAAAGAATTTCCATAAATTTTTCATGTTTAAATTAATTTAAAAGGAAATCTCATTCAATTTTTACATTAAGTCGTTTTCTCTAAAGAAATCTCATCAAAATCATTTCAAATTTCGAATGGAAATCAATTTATCTAGAACTCATCAAAATGAAAAAAGCTTCGTCGACTTCTTTTAACCTGAACAAAAATCTCCTTTCAGCCTATCAAGAAGGATGGAAGAAGAAATGATTTGCTTATGGGAATATATAAATAAATAAATAAATAACGTAAATAACTCAGTGCCACAGTGGTATGTGACGAGTCGGAGTGTATTTATTTTATCAAGAAACAAGAAATTAGAAATATCGAAGAAAACTTGAAATAGAATGACTGAAATAAATGATAATTTCAAGATTTCCATTAATTCAGTTGATTGTCATTTGAAATAGAAGGAATTGTGCATAAAAAGTTAAACTCAAATGAGTTGAATTTACATATATGAATTAAATTGTATTCAACATTTGAGCTGAAATGAACTGTATTGAATTGAACTAATTTGCACTGAATTGAAATGAATTGAAATGAATTGAAATGAATTGAAATGAATTGAAATGAATTGAAATGAATTGAAATGAATTGAAATGAATTGAAATGAATTGAAATGAATTGAAATGAATTGAAATGAATTGAAATGAATTGAAATGAATTGAAATGAATTGAAATGAATTGAAATGAATTGAAATGAATTGAAATGAATTGAAATGAATTGAAATGAATTGAAATGAATTGAAATGAATTGAAATGAATTGAAATGAATTGAAATGAATTGAAATGAATTGAAATGAATTGAAATGAATTGAAATGAATTGAAATGAATTGAAATGAATTGAAATGAATTGAAATGAATTGAAATGAATTGAAATGAATTGAAATGAATTGAAATGAATTGAAATGAATTGAAATGAATTGAAATGAATTGAAATGAATTGAAATGAATTGAAATGAATTGAAATGAATTGAAATGAATTGAAATGAATTGAAATGAATTGAAATGAATTGAAATGAAATGAATTGAAATGAATTGAAATGAATTGAACTAATTTGCACTGAATTGAACTGAATTGAAATGAATTGAAATGAATTGAAATGAATTGAAATGAATTGAAATGAATTGAAATGAATTGAAATGAATTGAAATGAATTGAAATGAATTGAAATGAATTGAAATGAATTGAAATGAATTGAAATGAATTGAAATGAATTGAAATGAATTGAAATGAATTGAAATGAATTGAAATGAATTGAAATGAATTGAAATGAATTGAAATAAATTGAAATGAATTTAAATGAATTGAAATGAATTGAAATGAATTGAAATGAATTGAAATGAATTGAAATGAATTGAAATGAATTGAAATGAATTGAAATGAATTGAAATGAATTGAAATGAATTGAAATGAATTGAAATGAATCGAAAAGAATTAAACCGAATTGAACTGAATTGAACTGCGTTGAACTGCATTGAAATGAATTGAAATGAATTGAAATGAATTGAAATGAATTGAAATGAATTGAAATGAATTGAAATGAATTGAAATGAATTGAAATGAATTGAAATGAATTGAAATGAATTGAAATGAATTGAAATGAATTGAAATGAATTGAAATGAATTGAAATGAATTGAAATGAATTGAAATGAATTGAAATGAAATGAATTGAAATGAATTGAAATGAAATGAATTGAAATGAATTGAAATGAATTGAACTAATTTGCACTGAATTGAACTGAATTGAAATGAATTGAAATGAATTGAAATGAATTGAAATGAATTGAAATGAATTGAAATGAATTGAAATGAATTGAAATGAATTGAAATGAATTGAAATGAATTGAAATGAATTGAAATGAATTGAAATGAATTGAAATGAATTGAAATGAATTGAAATGAATTGAAATGAATTGAAATGAATTGAAATGAATTGAAATGAATTGAAATAAATTGAAATGAATTTAAATGAATTGAAATGAATTGAAATGAATTGAAATGAATTGAAATGAATTGAAATGAATTGAAATGAATTGAAATGAATTGAAATGAATTGAAATGAATTGAAATGAATTGAAATGAATCGAAAAGAATTAAACCGAATTGAACTGAATTGAACTGCGTTGAACTGCATTGAAATGAATTGAAATGAATTGAAATGAATTGAAATGAATTGAAATGAATTGAAATGAATTGAAATGAATTGAAATGAATTGAAATGAATTGAAATGAATTGAAATGAATTGAAATGAATTGAAATGAATTGAAATGAATTGAAATGAATTGAAATGAATTGAAATGAATTGAAATGAATTGAAATGAATTGAAATGAATTGAAATGAATTGAAATGAAATGAATTGAAATGAATTGAAATGAATTGAACTAATTTGCACTGAATTGAACTGAATTGAAATGAATTGAAATGAATTGAAATGAATTTAAATGAATTGAAATGAATTGAAATGAATTGAAATGAATTGAAATGAATTGAAATGAATTGAAATGAATTGAAATGAATTGAAATGAATTGAAATGAATTGAAATGAATTGAAATGAATTGAAATGAATTGAAATGAATTGAAATGAATTGAAATGAATTGAAATGAATTGAAATGAAATGAATTGAAATGAATTGAAATGAAATGAATTGAAATGAATTGAAATGAATTGAACTAATTTGCACTGAATTGAACTGAATTGAAATGAATTGAAATGAATTGAAATGAATTGAAATGAATTGAAATGAATTGAAATGAATTGAAATGAATTGAAATGAATTTAAATGAATTTAAATGAATTGAAATGAATTGAAATGAATTTAAATGAATTGAAATGAATTGAAATGAATTGAAATGAATTGAAATGAATTGAAATGAATTGAAATGAATTGAAATGAATTGAAATGAATTGAAATGAATTGAAATGAATTGAAATGAATTTAAATGAATTTAAATGAATTTAAATGAATTGAAATGAATTGAAATGAATTGAAATGAATTGAAATGAATTGAAATGAATTGAAATGAATTGAAATGAATTGAAATGAATTGAAATGAATTGAAATGAATCGAAAAGAATTAAACCGAATTGAATCGAATTGAACTGAATTGAACTGCGTTGAACTGCATTGAACTTAATTGAAATAAAGTGAAAAGAATTGAACTGAATTGAATTAAACCTTAAACAGTTTTAGACTCTATCATTGTAAATTCTTACAGTACAGCTCTCAATGCACTCAAACAAGAAAAGCTTCTTCTTTCTGACCATTTGCCATCATTTTCCTCTTGATTCCATATTCATTTGATACAGATATGTACATAAATACACCCAGAAAGAGTACTTCAGAGGAAGTAAAATGGAAAGACAGAGAAAGCCATGTCTTCATGATGAACATAAATTATTATTGTTAAAATAAAAAGAAAACAACACAACTTTATGTTATTCTCGATGTTTCTTTCTCCCTCACATTAACAATAAGCAATGATGAAGGCAAGAATAAAATAAGATGCGAGGGGAAAAACCTGCTTTAAGGTATTTGCATAACTCAGCGCGCGCTTTTTGTGATGAGAAAATATTTTGTATTCGGAATCTACTAAACTATTTAGTCTGTTGTGTTGTATACAAATTTTATGGGGTTAGTTTCAGAATTTTGGAACAGATTACATTACAAAAGCTAATAAAAACCACATGTGATAATCTAAATAGCCTCAAAAATTAAATTTCATCTCAGATAACCTCAAAAACTTAACCCTAACTTGGCATAGTCACCATAAGTTACGAATAGCCCAACTTTGGCAGTTTTCATCAAGTAAATTTCTCAATTAGACAAAAGTAATTCAAACTACACTTACATAACTTAAGCAAAATATATATGATACCATGGATGAGCCTTGTCAGAACATATACAGAAATCTTAATGAAAACAAAAAGCAGAAGAAGCAAAAAGCATGTATAGTAAAGATGCTTCTAAAAAAGATTCCTTATAAGAATTAATGTCGCATATTTGTAAATGTACAAGTTAGTAGAGAGCAAAATATTTTTGGGGGAGCAAGCTATTTAAGAAGAAGAACAAGAAGCAGCAACGAGAAGAAGGAAAAAGAGAGAAGCAGTTTCCATGACTTTTATAACATAAAGCGCCTAACATTCATTTACCATCGCATCGACATAAACGACGGCATTTAGAAGGAGGAAGTGAAATGAAAGTAATAGGAAAAAGGAGAAATTTAAGAGATGGAGAGGAGACATAAATGGCAAAGTTATTGAGATTAAGATCTATGAAGCAAAAATATGTGTATGTGCCACGTATACATTATAACATACAAACAAAAGCAAACACAGAGGGGAAATAACAGAGATACAATGTGTGCTGCTTAAAGTGTTTGATGCTGTTGTGGATTTAAAAGGATTTAAGTAGGTTACTTGCACATAAGCTTTGGATTTTAAAAATAATTTTTCTGGATTTCTTTTGAAAGCATATAAGTGCTTAATCTAGAAAAGTTGCTATGCATATGTGATTAAAGTGGGTTTTTAATAATGAGAGCAATTGTGGGAGCTTTATACTGTAAATATGATCGTGATATTGAGTATGTAGAAATATTTGAAAGCTTCTGCTTCCAAAGTTTGTTCAAAATATTCAAGATGCAAAAATATCAGCTTCAAAAGTGTGTTTAGTAAGATTAAAGATGCGAAATCTTCTGTTTCAAAAGTGCGTTTAATAAAATTAAAGATGCGAAAATTTCTGCTTCAATTTGTGTTCAGTTAAGTTTGTGAGGCGAAAATTTCTGCTTCAAAAGTGCGTTTAGTAAAATTAGAGATGCAACAATTTCTGCTTTAAATAAGTGTTCACTAAAGTTTGGGATGCGAAATTTTCTGTTTTAAACGTTTGTTCAGTAAAATTATAGCAAAAAAAACACTCAAAATTTTAATCTTTACCTCAACAACTTCCAACTAAAAGCATTAAATTAGAGCTTCCACAAATAAAACATCCCACAAATATATTGCAGATTTCCAAACTACCGAACCTTCGCATAAAATATTTAACAATTTATAAGAATAAAATAGACATACCTTTGACTCCACATCATGTACTTTTATCATAAAAACTAACAAAGAAGGAAAAGCTTAAAATTATTTTCTCATAAAAAGTCATGAAATGTAGAGAGATCTTTAAGTAAGTACGTAATTAAAATGAGGTCAAATGTGGAAAAAGGCAAAGGTTAAAAAAGAATTTTTTTGTTTTGCTTAAACCTTTTCAAAAAGCTTCACTCCCTGAACTCCTCGCTCTTTGTATTAATTTTAACTTTTATCTTCAACATTCATGAAAATGCCTTTTGGCAATACGAGCAGAAAAGATTCAAGCCGAATAGGGGAAAAAATGTTTATGGTAAACGAGAGCATCAGCAATCAACCCATACAGAACTTTATGAGTAATTTATAGAAGGTAAAGAGCTTAATCTAAGCACTAGTATGTGCAACAAGAGCTATTTTGTAAGTGTATATGAGACAGTAATCTTCCTTGTTTAGTAATGCTCAGGGTGTATGAATAGTATGTAGTTTTGATCCCCGAATTAGAGATCATGATGTGGAAAGTCGGTAGACTAATAAAAAACAAACTATTGGAAACATTTAAGGGATAGAATAACCTTCGATACCAAAAAATTTCTGGATCATTTCCCCAATCCCTCTTATCAAGCTAATAAGTCGTTACTAATATGCATATAAGTTGTGTGATCAACTCAACCGTTTAAATGCTCATATTACATTTACAAATTGAGCATAATCAATCCAAATTTTTGCCCATCAAATCAACAAAATATACGCCAATCTAAGCATTACATCCATTGTACAGCAAAGAGAGAGAAAAACCTTTTACCATAAGTTAATGAAGTGAATGAAATTTGAATTGAACTGGATAAGTAGCACGAAGCTTAGTCTGTCTGTGTCTGCTTCACTGACCGACTAAAGATGCCCATAAATTTTGCCTTCATTCACAATTTTTTTCCCCCTTATCCCTTGTATTCTCGGGTGATACCTTTGTAGCAACAAAAAAAATTAGATCTCTCATATACACGCATAGTAAAGCCATTTTAAGCTATAACATAGTTTCATGTTACACAATCAGTCTCTCTATTCTCCTTGCTTTTGTGTTGCTCACATGAGTCCCATTTATTTCCGATTCAATGAATTTTATAGTATTATCAGGCTCTTTTGAGGCATAGCACAATATAAAAGATGTAAGTTTGGAGTGGGAACAGCAACAGAAGACTCGAAATCAGGAAGCTAAAAATTGTATCAATGGAAATTGGGAATTTTCTGTTTGGTTGATGTTGGGACAATTATGAAATGCTGTGCAATCAGTGAGTCTATGGCTATGTGTTATTTGTTACAAGAAGGCAGGATTAAAGCTTGTGCAACACAGAATATCACTTAATTAATTAGTTCTGGTTCCTAATTAAAATCTAGATACGAATTAATTAAAAACTTCTACAATCATTTACTTTTCATACATTCAGTTCCTAGAAGTACTCAATTCTGCTTCTACGTAAATCATAATACAAAGATGTACGATACCAAAATGTTCATCACATTCAATTCATCAGAAATGGAGAGCAAACAGTTAGGAAAGCAATTCGAGTTGCTTTTTAATCGAAACGAGCTTTTTATCATGAAATGTTATGAGTTTTCCATCGTTTTATTGTTGCTAAGTGAACCAAACCGAGGTTCTTTGACTGTTGTCAGGTGGCTATATGCTACCCTTCCGACAAAAGAATGCTTCTCATTTTCTAAATAAAAAACTCTTGATCAAAATAAAAAAAAGAAGCACATAGCTTTCTTGAAATAAAAAACTCATTTCTATCCACACATCCATTCATATCGAAAGTCATTCTTCTCATAAAGGAGGAAACTATGCCAACGGGAATTCGACACTAGTCACTTTTTGTTTTCATTCCTTTCACATTTTCTGAAATGTTCAGTGATGTTCAGTTGTCAACACTTAATTTTTTTTGTGGAAGTGAAATAAAGTAAATGATATGCTTTTGAATTGGAAATGCGGAATGACGGGTGAATTTGAAAATGAGAGCTGGAAAAATGAGGACAAGACAAAAAAGTCATGTACGGCATTTGTTAGCTTTTCTTCTATGCATGGTGAAATTGGGTCAGGGCTGTGAGTATTTTGTGCAGGTTTATGATGGTGGATGGAAGTAGAAAAGGAAGATTTTAAATGCAATCATGCAAAATGTTGTAAGTTGCAATAAATAGGTACGAAATGCTTAAAAATTGAATTTTTAAGAACATATAAATGCTATACCATGATTAGAGGCATGTAGAAGTTCAGATTTTAGACTACGCTTGTGCATGGCCTCCTTCTCCACTGTTAACTCAATAATGTAGCTATCTTAATTAGCAACAATCAGAAATTTCATCCTTTAATAAAACCTCCTTAAATTCCAAGCTTAACAACTGTCCAAACCTCCTTTAATAATTAATTTAAATTCCATAAAATACGTTTTCACACAAAATTCCCCGTAAAACCGCAGTTGCTGCCAGAAATAATCAGCATAATTATATTAATATGCACATTAAGCACTGGACATTGATAATTGGCGGAAAAATTTAAATTACAATGTACTTACAGCTATTGTCTCTGAAAAGTTTTTCTCGCTTTCAGTATTGCTTAATACACCGCCGATATTGAAGAATGCTGGATTATCGCCGCTACCTGGCTTCTGCAGCTGGACATAATTGTTGAATGTAAACAATATTAGTGTCCATAAATAGAATTTGATAAGTTTGTGCCACATTGTTACTTCCTTTTTTTATGACTGCTTCTTGGTATCCAAATATTTCAATTCCAAATTGTTTTAATGTTACTGACTATTGAACGCGTATTGTGATATTTGTTACTGTTATTTTATCCTCTATAATGCTAGTTTTATGTTATGTTTGCAAACGATTATATGTATAACGTATATATAATATTTTTTAATAGTAGACTAGACTTAACCGTATCTGTTATGTCCTTTCCTCTGTTATTATTATAAATATTTATTCATTAAAGCTATTCCACATTTGTTTAGTTTTCCTCAATGTTTGTCTATTATGCTAGTGAGAACTTTAATAGATGCCATAGTTGACATGTGAATCATTCACAGCTCTTCCTCCTACTCGGTATGTTTCTTCTTCTTCTGTTGTCTTGACGTTTTATGTTCCTTATTGTTCTTGTTGCTCTTTTGCTTGCTTCTGTAAAAAAAATAAAAGTTTATAGCTTTTAGCATATTTTGTTGAAAATTCAAATAAATTTATGGGTTTATGTGCTGTCTGGTTCGATTTAAATTTGAGTCTTGTTGGTGACATAACATGAGAACAAGTTGTTTGAATTATAGCTATAGATACATGCAGTTGTGGTTGAAGTTCATTTATTAAGAACAGTTCATTGGAATTTCAAGTATTGAAGTATAGAGTGTTTATGATGCTGTATTGAGGAAATGTATATGTTGCTGAAGGATTGTAATTTTATATTGTCGGACACCATGCAAGTACTGTTACAGTACCTTCAAACCGAAGAGTGCTGTATAGTTTCCTCAGAAATCATTCAGCCTTAACATTGAATCCTTTTAAAATCCTCAAAACTTTACCAACTGAAGCTTTTTGTGCAATTCAATTTCTTGATTATAAAACAAAATCTTATTTTCAAAAAATTCTAAGCCAGCTTGAAAGTTTGATAATTTAAACTTTTTCAACTTTATAAAGCTTCACTTTCTCAATTTTCTACCTAAATGCGCTTGAACTTTTCAAACAGCAATCATAGAGCTACAAATTCTCAGTCTCCCAGATGTGAACAGTCTTCTTTTGATTAATTTACTCTTAATTCCCATGCAGCCATCGCAAAACTCTTTAATCCTATATAAAACTTACACATACTCCTATCTCGTCGCCATAGTCATGTAAAATAATTTTTTGTTTTTGAAAGCCACTGACAATGATAACAGCAACAATTAGTTGATACACATATAAAACACAGATAGTTTCCTTCCTTGATGCTGCTGTTTTTTTTTTCTTCCTGTTTGATGCTACAATAATTGTCGAACTCTTGTCTCTCACTTTTTTTTTTCTTTTGTATTGTTTGGATTAATTCAATTGAATAACAAGGAAGGATGTCAAGTGTACGAAGATGAAGACAGAGAAAGAAAAAAATTTCTTTTATATTCACTTGATGTATTCCTTTTTTTCGTTTAGAATTGATTATTAAATTTTGAAATCCGTCTGAGTTATGAAGCCAATAAAATGTCTTCTTCTTGATTCCTTGACTGCTTTTTTATTATTATTATGCTGCTTTTTTTTGTTCCTCAATCGTCTCGCTTTATTATGTATGAAATGTACTGACAGGATGTTGGAGAAAATAATGATTTCATCATTTCCTTCCGGAGTTCATCGATCCTTCTTCTTATTTTACTTTCTGTACCCACTTCTTACTCAATGTCTCAATGTTTATGGTCTTCGAAAATACTTTCTTCCTTTATTGTTTGTAATATTTTACGATGATTTATATCTCATGCATATATCATGAATGTATGGGCATGTGGGTGTGTGAGTGAGAGACATATACATAAATTGAGAGATTGTTGTGGACGCTACAAATGTGAGATGATGATAGCAAGTAGAGTTGTCGGGAGAATGAGTTGAAAGGAAGAGAATGAAAAAATTCCTATCACACGCACTTAGCTTCCATTCAGATGACAATGATGATGATTTAAGCAGTGTCTTGATTGCGATTTTTGACTTTCTAATTTTTTATATGCTGTTAAACTTCAAGATTCATTGTTCTTATACTTCTTTGTTCTTTGCACTCTTGATTTGCCTTTCTACTTCCTAATTCTGTAATTAATTTTTATGCTTTACTGTTATGCCTTACAATTTTAAAATTTTATCTCTCGTGTAGTCGTTGCGGTCCGGAAAATAAACAGTACAGCAGATAGATAAGTGTAAATGACTTTCACAATCTGTTGTTGCTGAATATAATGGATACCAGACTCGACTTTTATCTAGGTCGAGTGAAAGAAAATTCAGTTAAGTCTACAACTGATCTCGTTTAGATTCTGAACACCTTCGCGTTTCTTTTATTTGATGCTAAAACAAAGCCCCCAGACGTCTGTATCGTAGATCTGATCCAACAACACCTTCAATTACTGTTTAACACGCTGATCCAACCCCTTTTATCTATACTTTTTTTTACCGTTCGTTGTTAAGGTATAACGAGCCTCAAAATGTCTCTTATGAAGGCTGAATTACTAAGACTTTCTATGTTTGACTGTTGATTAAACAGATTCAAATATACTTGTAGAATGTAGAATGAATCCTTTGTAGTACTAAATGTTAATATCTCTTGACAATCCTGTATCATATCATTCCTTCTATTGTGTGGTCTTCTTGTTTATTTTCTATAAGTTAAACGTTAGTAAACCCTTGTGGTTTTGCTGCTAATTTCCTTTTGTGTCGTCTTAATTCATAACCATGTTCAGGAAGGTATTATTGTGAGAAAGAGATCATTATCGGTGGAATTTATGCTGCTTTCTTTTTATTATTTGTTGATGCTTTTATGTTCTGTCTAATTAACTTTTTCTTTTTCTCCTTTAGATTTTAATGAGCTTTTAATTATGCAGTGTGTATGCTGGTTTTTAACTTTAAGTTCCTTTGGATTTCTTCACTCCTAAAACTTTGCTTTTGCTTGGTTTTACTTTGTGTTTTGCTTTTAAAATTAATAAGGTAAACTTTATGTTAACTTTAGATTAAAAATTAATTTGTTTTCCACTCTTTTTTGCTTCCTTTAAGCTGTGTTGCTATCCTTTTTGTATCAACTTAAAGCGAGTTTAATTAGAGATCATGTTATGGACTTAATTATTCATTAAATTAATGTTTTTTGGTGGGAAAATCCTTTTTTGATTTGATTTATTGATTGGTTGGCTGGATCTTTGCTGGATCTACTTTAAACACCTTAAATTATCCGAATACAGCACACTAATGTTCACATTCAACAATTTAATTGATATCAATCTTGTCAATGCTGATAACATTATTGAATTACATCAATATTGGACATTCAATATAATTGAATTAATTTGAATGCCTTTTGAGTTGCAACAAGCCTGTCGTATCAAATTCCAATTCGGAATTATCAATTAAATGATTTCAAATGGAACTGAATTAAGTTTTGATGGTTTTTGTGCTTCCTATTGTTCCTTCAAAGCTGCTGTCAATTTCAATCATTGACCGTCGACGATGTGAATAAAAGAAGTGTTTTTTCTCGTCTTTCAACTCGTTTGCAATCCTATTGTGCGAATCTCACTGAAATGAAAAGAAATGAAAACAATGAAATTAGTGAAAAACAATGCCAACTTTTTTCATTCTTTGTTTTTTTTTTGCTTCAAAAAGTTTTTTATTCTCGTTCCTTTTTCAATTTTGTTGTAATGAAAAAGTTCGAAGGCTTCTCAAGTATAATTTGAGTAAAATGTGAAAGTTACGGTCGATGGATGGAAGTTTTTGTGTGTTAAAAATGTGTAAATAATTATAGAAATTAAGTTAAAAGTTTATTCTTTGATGATGAACTAATGTGCGACCTTTTGTGAATCTAAAAGCTTGCTGAGATAAAGTTTTTTTCTGCTTTGTTTTTCTATGGAATATTTAGAGGAAGTTGAGAAAATCATCATGATACTGAATAGGGCTTAAACGCATTTTTGAATTTCAATGGTTTTTGAAACTTTAAAATGGTTGTAGGTTAGTGAAGTTAAAGAGGTAATTTCTTACAGGTTGCACGGTTTTTGTTTACAAAATGAAAAATCAATTATTTTCAAACTTAATCTTAGTTGATTGCTAAATGATTCATATCAGATGCAGTTTATAGACCCAAAGTGCTACTTTAGCACAATTTTCCCAGAAGAAGTTGCTCTAGAAGATTTTAAATTGATTTTCCTTTTTTATTTCTTTTACCTTTAACCCTGCACTTCTTTTATATCTTAATGACTTTCAAACTAATTCAGAAATGATTTTAACAATTAAATTAAATTGCCTCTTAACTACAGAATCTAAGGAAATAAAGTTTTTTCCTTCATCTTCTCAACATCCAACACTTAAACTGAAATCTGAATGGCTCTCCACATCCAACTAAGGTGAATTCATCAAAATACTTCGCAAAAATCGAGAAGAATATCTTAAGCTTGTCAAATATCGGATTAAGTTTTCGTGCACCGTTTTTAATACCCTTTTTCCTCATTGTTATGCTGAACAAAATCATATTTTTGAATGTCAAGAGTGTTTTCTGTATTTTATGAGAGGATCTTTGTCGGTGATGATATTTTTATAATATTTTAAAGAGATTACAATTATATTTATAAGATACAAGTGAAAGTTTGCTGTCTGTGTATGTAAACTGACTTTAATGTGATTTTCTTTAGTGTTGGATCTTATTTCCCAAGAATTAATGCTTAAAATACTTCCATATCCAAAAATTACATCGAATTCCACTGATGTATCGAAGTTACGCAAATAAAACTGGTCGGAAGTTCCCCAAAAAAATTTGTCAACTTAATAAAATTCAAATTTTCTTTTTTCGATTCAAACCAAAATCGTCAATTATGCAGGATCAAAATAGCAAGGATTGTAACGTTTTAAAGTGAATTCTATTATGCAAATTTATGCAGGATCAGGCTCCCAGCAACAGCAAAAACTACTTATGCCGAAAAACTATCAAGTAAAATGGTTAAAATGAGGAAAATAACTTAACTTTTCCAACATTCGATTAAATTGGGTAATTAACAATTTTTTTTCGTCAATTATAAGTCGTTTGAAAATCAATAATTTAATAACGTTGAATTTTCAATCCTTTCAGGAAGTTACATTGAGAAAGTTTGGCTCATAATTAGACAGATTTTAGATGAAAGAATCGGAAAATAAGGGCGAGCGA